GTTATTTGGTTAGTGAGGAAATATGAAATGTGTACTTAGTTACAGATCAAATATGACTTCTCCCTTCCTGTTTAATATTGGGCTCTTATATATTATTTTCTCAATAATTTTTTTCACCTTACTTTATCGGCATTCTTACTGTAAACATGTTAATGTTCCTTGCAAGTAGACAGGTATAAATAAACAAAAATTCATTCACAGACCTATTTTTTCTCATATTTATAAACAAGGACTATTTGCCCCTTATACTATTTGTCTTTAAGTTACTTACATTAGCATTTGAATGCACTTTGCTGAGTCTCTGATATCCCACACCTTAATATAAGATGTTGACACTGTGAAGACCAAACTTGTACAATTACAGTATTTTACTGATATGACATTGTTGGGATGATCCCTCAGTGACATTGTTTCCTGCCCAGTCACCAGATTCCATACTTTAAAAGTACAATCTAAAACAAAAATAAAAGAGGAAATACTGTCAATATGAATTAAATTTGACTTCTATGAGAAAAAAAATTAGGCAAGGAAACAGTAATTATTCCATTAACCTGAAACGGGCATCCTAACTCCACTCTTGATGCTTTGCAGCAGGTTCAAGGGCAAAGTAGGTATAAAGGATTGGATGAAAGCTAGGGATGCATCACACAGTATTAAAAAGAAATTACACAAAATTTTAAAATAGATATATGAAAAGAGTCTTGCTCCAAATTGCCCCTGAATTTTAAACAGCCATCCTAATTCAGCCATTTCAAAATCTGCTCTTAGCTCGTGAACACTCCATACTCATAAATACAAATAAGTTTCTTTCCAGGAGTCACTGATGGATGGATTTTATCTTTGACTCAAAAAACATAATCATAAAACTATTCTATTTTGTTTTTCTGACATGCTGAATGTGTAATTTTACTGGAGAAATCAATTTAACTTGAATCATTAGAAAATTATGTTTTTGCAGAGTCAATATTTTTTAATGGGGGAATTGCTTGCAATTATTCACAACACGTATTTAGACTCTTATATTTCCCACATAGACAATGAGCAAAAATCTTTGCTGATTAAACTGAGTCTTGTTACATCCATAAATGCTAAAAAACTTTAACTAGCTCCCCAAATTCCTATACATGCTTCCTTCTCACCTTCCTTGTCTCATTGCCCATTGTCATGTATATTCTACATTTCAACTCAATTGGATTTAGTTTCCAGATTCCTTTTTTTTTTTTAAGGATTAGATTTATTCATTTATTTCTGCTTGGAAGAGGTACTGGGGATTGAACCCAGGACCTCATGTACGTTGAGCATGCGCTCTACCACTTGAGCTATACAGCCCCCCTCCCCCCAAATCCACTTCTACCTCCACGTCTCTGCTTCTGCTCTTCTCTGATCTTGGTTGCCCATCCTTACCTGTCAGTAGCAACAATCCTATAAGGTTCATCCTAAATACCAACTTATCAAAGCTTCCCTTATTTTTTACAGCTTGGTATAATCTCTCTCTTTTCTGAAACCCCAAAACTTAGTCTATAACTTTTCAAATCATTTATAGTTGATTTTTTTAAGCTGCCTGCCATTTTACCAAAGGGGTTAAGAACACAGGCTTGGAGATGAGTAGACCTAGGTTTCTAATCCTGGCTCTTCCACTTTCTAAGTGTATCTGGGGAAATTATTTAACTTCTTGAATCTTCAGGTTTTTCATCTGTAAAATGCAGATGCAATATGTATGTCATTGGTGTTGTTGAGAGAATTAAGTGAGATGTAATTTTCATACTGTCCAGTACAGCCTCTGACATACAGGAACTGCTCAAGAAATGGTGGCTGCTACCCACCTTACTCTCCCTATCACACTGTATGTTGCAATGGCCTTTCATAGATTTTTGTGCAGCCTGCATTACTAAGCTCAGGCCTTTGCATACATTAGATGCTCAATTACCAAAGAGGGATGTATCCCTCGCCGTTCTACTCACATCACATCAACAGAGGTTTTACTTTCTTACCAACCATGCAGTGATTTTATATTTTATATAATTCAGGGGTTGAACCAGATTATCTCTCAGATTCTTGTGAGTCTTAAATGGTTTGATATTTTTTTCAAAACCTGCTCAACATAATCATTTTTTAAAAGACCTGTTACGTATCCACATGACACAACGACCAGCACCTTTTCATCCAGCGAAGAGAAGAGCATCATAGCCCCCACACAGAGCACAGCTGTTGTTGCCCTTCAGCTACATGCACACACTGAAGTGGGGTGTTCCGATTCCTTTTAAAGCTGGAAGTGGTTTGATTATGCCTCTGAGCTGGGGGGGGAGCTTTATTTCAGTAGCTATATCATGAAACTAGTTTTTAATTTTTCTCTGACTTTATGAAGTCTTTCCAAGTAATACTAATAAAATCCATACTGCTCCCTTGTCTTGATTTTTTAAGCAAAGGGACACAGCGTGAGATAGTAAAAGCAGTGATGGCATGCACTGACTAATCTGGTGTCAGCTAGCAAGTGCATTCTGCAAACAGCAAAGCCAATGCTGCATCTGGATTTTCTTATTAGTAATTTCATCTCTTTCAAATTTAATGAAGTAATATTGGGAGCTGTTCAGGTATAGTGAATTCTGACAGGTATGAAAGTATAAGTGATGGTTAACTGGAAGATGTCTCTCTGTCAGGCTGGAATATAATTCTATGTCAAAAAAGACA